AAATTTAGTATAAATATATTTTAATTTTAATGAAATATATTAAAACAATAAATTATAATAAAAGTAAAAATTATTAATATTGAATTTGAATTGAAATCAAATATTATATTCAACATATTTTGATTGATAGAGCTGGCGCTCTGAGCAGCGGCGCCGCCATTTGCATTTGGAACTAACGGATTTGATGAAATCGGCTGTCCGCTCGGTGCCCAGGCCCTGCCCCCTGCTGCCAGTTTGAGTGAGTGCGAGCAACGAACGGCGCACTCAGCTGCTGCTGCTGCTGTTGCTGTTGCTGTCTTGCTCACGCACTCGTCCAGCCCAGTCGCCGTCTCGTTTGCACTCAAGCTGCCTTGCCCCTCATTGAGCGCGTTCGCTGTGCTGCTGCACACACGCGACTTTCGAACTCGCTCAATGTCGAACGATTTCCCCAGTTTTCGAAAACGTTCGTTGCGCGAGCGGAGCAATTGAGTGAGAGTGAGAGAGTGAGCTGAACGGCTCGGCGCTCTTGAGTGGCTAGCGACGGGCGAGTGGCTCAACTGTAGCAGCGACAGGTTTGACTGGGCGAGCGAGTGGAGTGAGTTGATTTGAGCGCTTTCTCTTGCTGTTGTTGTTGTTTCGTTGTGTATGCATATGGAAATGGAATTGAAATGTGAATATGAAACGATTCAATGAAATATTTATGAATAATTTAAATTAATTTTTATTTATATTTATATATAAATTAATTGTGTGATATATTTTCATAAAATTTTATTCCATTTTATATTGCATTTACTTCTAATTATTTTTTTTTTTTTTTATATTAATTTTACATTTGTCTTACTTTATTCTTCTTCTTGTTCAGTTCTCATTGCGCTAAGCGCAACTTGTTGAGCCGCAAACTGATTGCAAAATGATTATGGACTGCTACATATCTCTGTCCCTTCCTTTCCCTCCCTCCCTGTGTTGTCATAATTTTCGCCCGTCAATTGTCGAGGAGGCGCATCACAAAAGTTCATTAGGCAACGCGGGCGTCCGTGGCACACATGTGGCATGCGAGGCCAAGGACACCAAATGATGCAGGTTCTGCATAGCCAAAGGACCAGCAAACACACACACACAGACAGACCCACACAAACAGATAGACAGCTGGACAGACAGCTGGACAGAGTCTGTGAGGGGACACGAAATGTCAGCAACATCATTTGTCAAAACAAACTTTTTGACGTCGTCGCGTCGCGTCGCGTCGCGTTGCCTCGCAGCGAAAGTGCGTGCCGTCCCCCGCCCCGCCCCGCTCACAATGTCGCATCTCTGCCTGCCGCACTTCGTGTGGGCTCCTTGCAACACACATTCGAGGCAGCTGCCCCGCCCCGCCCCACCCTGTCTGATGTCCATGATTGTTTGGCGTCCACTCCGAAACAGCTCCAAAAACTGTTCACAGCCTCCATTTGTAATGGCAGCCACGCCTACTCGCATGCCACCGCCCCCAGGCACACTTTCGCTGCGACTGCAAGGAAATTGCACTCAAAGAAAGGCGAAAGCAGACGGTGATGATGATCATGATTGGGGGGGAGAGAGAAGGAGAGACTGCAAGAATATATTTGGAATATATAGTAAATATATTTATTTAATTGTAATATTTAATGCAATCATTAAAGATTAATTATATCTCCTTTGAAAATATAGATTTATAAAAATACAATTTAATAAAAAAAAATATAAATATATATATTTTTTATATACATATGTATATTAAATTCCATTTTATAAAATATTATGTTTAAGTAGAAGAGGATAATGATGAATTATATATTTAAGAAATGAGTATTTTTAATATATATTTAAAGAATAATTGCCTTTAGTTCGTTTTAAATGTAATGTAAGCAAGGTAAGGGTATATATCTATGCCTTATTTGACCCCATCACAGATCAACTTGACAAAGAAATCGTCACTACTCTAAGACAATGAAAAATCCTTAAATAATTTTATTTAATTTCAATATTGTTTGCAAAAAATGAAAATAAAATAAAAAATTATTTCAATGACAATAAATTTCGATTTGCATTAGGAATTGAAATTTTTTTCTGTTAGTTTTATATTAAATAAATATATTAAGAATTGAAATTATTATTAATATTATTTTTTTCCAATTATTTTTATTTTAAATAAATAAATTAAGAATTATTATTAAAATTATTTAAAAAAAAATTTTTTTTTTATTTAAAATATCTACGAGCGAACGAGGAAAATTTTTACGAAAATGTCTGACGAATTTCGTCAAGGAAAATACTTTACATATTAATGAAATTTTCCTTTTAGCGGGCAGATAAATGTATTAGTATAATATTATATACATATATGTATAATATTTTATATGATATCATATATACCAAATCCTTGTAGAATATTTATAGACACAGTCTGTTACTATCTACACCTTATTGAAAGCACTTCATAGTGAGGGAGTGAGTGAGAGAGAGCGATAGAGTGAGCGAGTGCATTGATCAACATTAACTGCACACATGCACACACACCCATACACACACAGACACACTCACACAGTCACACCCACACATATGTTAGCTGACTGCGTTAGCCAAATTTGCCACACGGCGCATGCCACACGAACATGCCCCATGCCGCATGCCACATGCCACATGCTGTTGTTGTTTGTGTATTTTGTGTGTTGATTTTTGGTCGCGCTTTTCAGGCTTTTTTCTATTATTTTTTTTTTTTTCAACGGCAGTCGCCACTGTTAGCCAATGTTGGCCAATGTTGGCGTATTAGCGGTTTTCGTGGCCGATTATTTGGAAGCCCATTTGATTTGGGTGTCGCCAGAGCATCTATTAATTATACAGCTAGACTCGCTCACTCGCCCTCTCTCTCTCTCTCTCTCTCTCTCTCTCTCTCTCTCTCTCTCTTCTTCATTCCTTTCAATTCATTTCATAATTACAACAACACAAAGCGACAGCAGCTCGTTCCATGGCCGCAACTCAAAAACTATGCAGAGCTATGGACACGTAGTGTAATGGAGCAGGAGGGGTGGGGGTGGCGGGGCTCTGCCAAGGGATCCACTCACACCGAAATTGTGCAAATTATTGTACAGCAGCAGTAGAAAAATGAAAATAGAAATAGAAATCGTTGCATACTTTTGAAAATGAAGTCATCGAGCTGAGAGTCACATACAGAACTAGTTCTGTCTCTCTCTCTCTCTCTCTCTCACTCTCTCTGTGTGTGGCACATGGAACCCTTAATTAAATAAATTCAATATGCGCAACGGGCGGCAGACACCCAGCCACCCAACCACCCAACCACCCAGACAGCCCCCTCAGTCCGCGCTCCCCTCTGCGGCGGGCAGCTCGAACCAACTACAAAATTATATGGCGAAAATGTTCCGTTGGAAATCGTCATGGATTTTAATATTTAAAAGCGTTTTGCACAAAACTGTCCCAGCAAGTGCCACACACACACTGGGGGTGGGGTTAGGGGCATTGGCAGGGGGGCGAGCGTGTGCTGTTGACCAGCACGTGGACTGACCAAAAAGTGCCGCAGTTCAGAGGCCAAACGCATCGACTGCGCCACATCAGCCATGTCCCAAAGAAGCCACCCACCAGCTAGCCCCCACTCCTCGCCCCTCGCCCCTCGCCCCGCCACACAAAAACCCAGCCCGTTCGACAGGCAACATTTTGATAAGCGACGTCCGTGTCCTGCCCGTGTCCTGCCCATGTCCATGGCCGTGCCCAACTGCCCCAACTGCCCCAGCAGCGCCAGCAGCCGGCAAAGGATATTATTTAATGAGCTAAACTTAAAGCGTTGGGCGCTCCACTGGATTGCTTTGTGGGCGGAACGAACTCCACTTGCGACTGACCAAATTGAGTTGACCTGTTTCATCTGTGTGTGTGTGTGTTGGTGTTTGTGTGTGTGTGTGTGTGTGCTGCATAGTTTTTGGTGGCCAGACTCAGTCTCGCTTGGCTTGCATATTCAATTGAAGCCAAGAGCTGAGAGCGCTCTATACACCAGACTCCTTCACTCCTTCCCTCCTTTGCTGCTCCACTTCTTCCCCCCGCCTACTCCTTTAGCCCATTGCTCCAGTTTGGCAGGGGTCAGGCGTGTGCGTGATTAAAAATTCAACACCCGAAACGAATGTGGAATTGAACGGCAAATTAAATGAGCACTCAGCTGGACGGCAGCTGCAGCAGGAGCTGGAACGGAGTGCAGGGGGGGGCGGACGCAAGGGGATTGAGCTGGAGCGGGTTGGACTGTGAAATCCTTTACTTAAACCTAATGGCAGTTGCTGACTATTCAAACTCTCTGCCTCTCCCTCTCTCTAGCTTCCCCCATCTCTCCATTGCCAACTCCTGCTCACTCATTGATCGATTATTATTTCATATATTTATGAAAAGTTTCAGCTTCTCAAGTGAAGCCAAGAGATCACTGAGCTGAAGTGGGCTGAGCTGGCCTAGCACTGAAAACCCCTTAACTCAAGCTTAATGACAGTCTGCTGTCTATTTAAACAATCTCCCTCTCTCTTTCTCTCTCAATCTCAAATCAATCTCAAAATTAATCAATTATTCCATCATAGATTTACAAGTCTAAGGGATCAATATATCACGAGCTGCTCTTGAAGGTATTGCTTCCTCACATTCCATTCAAATTGATGTCTATCCACACCGCGGGGCATTCAAATAGCAACGTTTGCACACTCAATGCTCAAGGGCTGGGGCGCAGTTCAACCGCACAGCAATTGACACATAGATGGCGCTGTGCAGATCACGCCCGCTGCATGGCAAATCCAATTAGATTCCCAATCAGAATGTTTTCGTTGGATTTTAAGACTTTCAAAATTTATTTCAAGTGTGACATTCAACAGATTGACTGTTGAGGTTGTTGATGATAGAATCTATGCACATGCACATATTATGTACATATATATGTATATACATATATATGGCATGTGTGAATATATATATATATATATATATATATATATATGTATGTATGTTTGTATGTTTGTGTGTGTATATACATATATAAAAGAAGCACGCGAAACGAGATTTTGGCCGTGTTGATTGCAGTCCGAAAATTTGCGCTTCTCGCTTAGCCCGAGGCGACGGTAGTCGACGTTGGTGGTGGGCAGCGGTCATCAGGTGGTGGACCCGACGGCGGCGGTCCACGAGGCGGATATCCACTGGGCGGTGGACCGCATGGATTCTGTGGTCGGGCGGTCTGGCGAGAGAGAGAGAGAGAGAGAGAGAGATGGTTGAGTAGCTGCAGTCTTGGAATATTTGTATATACACTCTTCACACTTACCACTAGCGCCTGGCCGCAGATCAGCAGCAGGAATAGGCTCATGAGGTGGGTTAGGCTTAGACGCATCTCCACAGCTTTGTTTCGAGTCGAGAAATGTAGTGCCATGCCACCACGCGTTTTGCTTATAAGCGGGCGACGCGTTTGGCCAGTGTTCCATGTCGAAATGCTAAATGAAAAGAGACAGAGGAAGAGAGGGAGAGTTAGAGTGAGAGAGATTCAAGTGTAGTGTGAAAATGTGTGAGCGACAATTATTAATTATCGCACTCGTTCAATCAGTCCGATGGCTATTATATATAAGTATTCATATTTATATATATTTTTACATATATTTTTTATATTATTTCCAGTTCGGCTCGACTGCTCGAAATGTGATTAAATCTTAATTTAACCATGTGACAGCCATTTGAATGCCATTCACTTAGTAGTTCCATCTAATATTTTTCGTAATTTGTCGAGCCCGCAAAACGATCCAAATAAGTTATTACTCAGCATTAACTGACAAAGCTAGCGACTAGCTTAGTTACACCATTAGTGGATGGCTTTAGGTTAACTAATTCCAATTGGAGCTGAAGATAATCAACGCTATTTCTATTTCGCACTCAGTGCAGCACAGCAAAGAGATGATCTATATATAGTTTTATGGATTCCCCTTGTTTCTCACTGTCCAAAAGTTCTCCTCTCGTTGTCTCTGCCTTTCTTTTGCTACTTTTTTTTCAGTTTCACTTTCTTTGAAAGATTGGCATTACTTCAGTAGAGAAACTATCCCCTTTCTCTCTCTCTCTCACCCTCTGATTATTCGTTGTCCCTCGTTCTTGCGCTTCCTGATTGTCCTCCTAACTGCTTCCAACTGCCGTTCGTTTTCTCTACCTTGCTTTCTACCCTATTTGCTTATGTATACCTCACTACGTCTGTTTCCCTGTCTCGCTCACTCTGCCTTTCTCTCCTTCAGGCTCTCACTTTGTCTTTTTCTCTATCTGTCTGTCTCTCTCTTTGCTGCCTCATTATCTCTCCCCATATCTCTTTGTCTTACTCGCTCACTCTATCTCTCTCTCTTTCTCTCTCTCTCTCTCTCTCTTGCTCACTTTTTCTCTATTCTTCTATCTCTCACTTTGCCTCTTCCTGTCTGTCTGTCTCACTCTCTCTATCTCTCACTCTGACTCAGTCCATCTCTCTTTCTCTCTAGCTTATCTATCTTATCTATCTATTATCTATCTTATCATATTCTCCTTTTCTCTTTCCTACACTCTCCTCTCTCCTACCCCATCTGGCGCCCTCTCTTCTCAGCTTTTCTCTATAAGAATGACTAACATTCTGATTCTCCCTGCGCCCTCCGCTGTTGCTTCTCCTATTTCTCGCCCATGAGCTTAGCATATGTTATGATGTGATATTTCCCCTCTCCCGTCTATCTCTCTCTCTCTCTCTCTCTATCTCTTTGTCTCTCGCTGGCTTTCCCAATTGTGCTCGCGCTCTGTTGTTGCTCGCTATAATTAACTGAATATTTATTACTGCGGTAGATAAAATGTTATGCGGCTATTATTTTAGTTTTATGGGCTAGCGAGAGACCAACCAACAGGCGCCACGCCCGGCCAGGTGGGCTTAAGCCAAGCCAAGTTAATGGCCATTGCAACTTGAACACAGAGAGAGGGGGAGGTGCAGCACGAGAGAGTAAGAGAGTGAGAGAGAGAGAGAGTTTGAATCCGAGCCATGCAAAATGCATTCACACGCACTGTCAGCCTAGACACAAACCATTGAGCGAGCACAACCAATTAAGACAACAACCGCGGCCAGACTCCGCTCGGAGCCGGAATGGATTGGAATGCGGCTTGGGTTGCTCGCGCCGCTGGCGGGCCACTGGCTGGCGGATGCCGATGAAAAGAAAGTCGACTATAAATAAATAAAATAAAATACCGTCGCTAATTGTTTTAAGGCCGCCAGCAGCAACAACGCAATAAGGTGTGAAATTCAAGCGCATAAATCCAAGACGCAGCCAACGTCGACGCCCAAAAAGTTTCGCTGGCTGTCGAGTTGCTCGAGTTGCGCGAGTGGGTTGCTCCCACTTCGCTTACTCCTCCTCCTGCACCCCCTTTCTCCTGTTTGCTGGCAGAGCACGCCTTCAGCTGCCAGCTGATAAGACCAAGGGCAACTCCAGCACAGACGAGCAGCAGGACTCGGAGCAAGTGCTTGGCGCTCTGCTCGCTCGCTGGCCCGTAAAATAATAACGACAAGAAAATTACGCATACGCCGTGTTGTTTTACATTGTCTACGTGCGGCGGCCAAATAAGACGGCTTATTAATATTATTACTCATACGCCACCGGCAAGCCCAGCCAGCCGTAGCAGCTGCTGTTGCTATCTAATTATAATTGTTTAATGAACTGCACGGCAGGCCGTAGCTCGCATCGAAGCTGCGGCCAGTCGAAGGCGACAATATCTTCAAAAACGAAAGATACTTTCTATATGTAATGGATATATAAATGAAGAGGTGTGGGGCTAGGATCTTGTTGGGGAAGAAGTTCAAGGAAAATTCATGAATACGTAGAAAAAGAGTGAGATTCTTAGAGTCTAGAGTCTTCTCTACAAATACAGCTGACAATATTATATCCAAAATCTGATATACGAAACAGCTAAAAATCGCTGCCCAAAGCTGCTATGAAGCCATTTCTATACTAACTAATTGCTGTTTACCAACACTGACAACATACTACATCAATGATCATATACACTTTGATATTCAAGACGAGAGATATGAAAGACAGCTGCAATTCCTTGCCCAAAACTGTTGTCCTGCTATATCAATATCAACTAATTGCTGTTTACCAACACTGACAACAGACTATAACAATGATCAAGTACAATTTGATATTCAAGTCTAAAGATAATATAAATGACAACTAAAAATCGTTGCGCAAAACTGCCGTCAAGATCTATTTGCTATTCACCAACACTGACATCAATCCCTGTCATCATATGCTATTAGTGGACTGCAATGTATAACATTGCAACAACTTATTCTAGAGCACTACCTGATGGTCACAACAGTTACAGTTTACTAGTGTTGCCTAACAGTGCTGCTAGGCAGTTTTTCCAACACTGCTGCAAGTCAATTGCATCTACAGTCATAAGTCGCTTTCCAATGTTGCTTCTAATCCCCAATTGTTGTGCCAGCACTTTTGCAAGAGAATCTCAAGCACAGTCAAATAAGTCGTTAGTCAACACTAGTAGTATGTATGGCCACAATAATTGCGGCTGCAAATCGTTGCCCAGCACTGCCGCAACAAAACACAGCCGCAAGGCAATTTTAGTTGCACGACGTTACGTCGTTTACCAACACTGCAATTCAGCCAATAACCAGCTCACGCAATGCAGTTTAAGCAACGAAACTAGAAGATATTGTAAAGCCGTAATGCCCTTACGTACTTACCTGAAAACACCGATTTGCGACATTCCTATTCGACCTTGAGAGCGTGCAGCAAAATAATTCCGATAATCACCAGAACGACGATAATGATAACAATATAGGAATAGATGCACATTGTAGCAGCCAAGCTACATGACAAAAAAAATATATATATATAATAAAAATTTAAAATCAGCTGACGGTGTTTGGTCAAAAAAAATGAAATGAAAACTGAAATTTCTATTTAATATTGTGCTCTGTGCTGTGTATTGTAAAACAGTCGAATGACAATTGATGACGAGAGCCCCGCCAGCTGAGCTACATATTGTACGGCCTACTACTTGCTACTTACTAATCAGCTTTGGCAACGAGCTCAGCTTTTCTCGGGGAAAATGACAATGGGCCTTTTCGAACAATGTAGCGAAACGCCAAGCACATTGCCTCGCCCATTCCCATTTCCATTCCCATTCCCATTTCCATTCATGCTCATGGCTCGACTCGACATAACAGTTAAATTTTGTGTAGCACACCCAACTCCTGCTGCTGCTCCTGCTCCTGCTCCTGCTGCTGCTGCCTGTACTTAGCGGTTATAATAATTAAAATGAGCCAAATAATTTTGGCCAAAAAGCATCGATGAAAGGCTCAAATGCTCAATAAATGGCAGCGGCGAGCTGGAGGTGCTGCCAGTCAGCAGGAGCCGGAGCAGCAGCAGGAGCTGCCACTAACTCAATGCCCGTTGACAAACCTCCCGAGCGGCTGCGCTGCATGCCCTGGGGGGCAATTAAAGCGCATAAAAAACGCAAGCCAGGAAAAACTTGGCCAAAACTTTTGCCATCGATGACTCGACGGCCTGTCGGCAACAATGCAAGGAGTGGAGCTCCTCGGGGGCGACGTCTATGCCCAGCCATGTGATATCGATGTCATCCACAAAGCGAGCGTGTGCCAAGTGGGCGCCCATGGCAGTTGGCAATGCGTAAAACTGTTAACCAAAAGCAGTTAAAATTACAAAAGGCTGCAGAAGCCATGGCAATGCCTAGAGTGGGGGGTGGGGGGCAGTGGGGGGAGTAGGGGGAGTGGCTGCTAATTGGGAGTGGGTAGGTACTTTGAAAAATTAACACCTAATATCCGCAAAATCGCATCAAAGTATTGTTGTTGGTGAGTGCGACCCCGCCCCACTCGCACCACCCGCACCACCTCGCTCGCCTCTGCCAGTTGCGCCTTTTGTTAGATGGAAAACTTTGCAATTTCTTAAAAGTGTCGCCCCTCGCACAGCCCACCGCCCCCGCCTCCGCCTCGCCCCCTTCTCCAGGCGTAGCGAAACCCCCGGCAGCTGCTTTACTTAGTTGTAGGCGTTATTAGCAACACTTAAGATGGTCCACGTTGGCTGGCTGGGTTCGGGTGGTTCGGGTGGGTTGGGTGGTTCGGGTGGGTCGGCTGGCACTTGGTTTTTTCGACACCTACGCAACCAAAAATCGCAGACAATGGAGCGAGTGGCAAGTGGGGCTCTGGCACTTTGTTGGCTGATTGCGTAGCTGTGGGCTGGACTGGGTGGTTGGGTGGTTGGGTGGTTGGGTGGCTCGACTTGCTATTGTTTTACAAGCAGCTGCGCTGCTCTTGTTTGCCATTGTTGTAAATTGACACCGCAGCAATGAGTTAATAAGGCGATAAAAATTTCCAGCACAGTCAAACTTGTGGAGAGCTGGGCGTGGCAGGCAGCAGGGCGGACAGAAGGTGTAAAGTGTTGAGTACTTAGAGTCTTAGAGTCTTAGACTTTAGCTAGCTAAGCCAAGGCGGCAAGTCTATGAGCGCTCTGATCTAAAAAGGCGTAACCTGAGTGTGTGTACGTGTGTGTGTGTGAGGCGCACATGTATGTATATATGCATGTGTGTGTGTGTGTGTGTATTTTTATACATATTTTTAATTATTTTCATTTCATGTCTTTTAATTAACATGCCTAATAAAACACGAGGCAATGCTGGGGTGGGCAAGGGAGATATGTGTATGTGTATGTGTGTGTGTGTGTGTGTGTGTAGGGCTGGCTGCTGGCAGCGCCTTATATGCATATACGTGTTTGTACATGGCAAAAGAGCATAAAAAGATATTGCCGGCAGTCGGCAGTCGACAGGCAGGCATCATACATATCAGACTGATGTATGCAAATAACACCCCCCAGCAATACACACACACACACACACAGAGAGAGAAACTTGCAAAGCCTTTGAATCGTGCGCTGCCTGCTAAAAATCCCCAAATATAAATAATTAAAAAGAAAATGTTGCTGGCAAATCAAGCGAGCAGCAGAACCAGTCGAAAAAAACAACAACAACAACAACTAAGAAGAAGAGGCAGCTTGGTAACTGGAACGGGCTGAGACGATCCCTGTAATTATGTGGCCCCAGAACGAGAGCCCAACCACCACCACCACCACCACCACTCGGTCTGGCTGTGGTTTTTCCAAATGCATAATGCTGATTACGGGCAATAATTTTATGAATTTATGTAAACGTTCGCAGGCGAAGAGGTGTGCCGCTCTCTGATAAGCAGGATAACTCATGTACATATGCATGTCCCTCTCACTCTCCTTCTCTCTCTCTCTCCCTCTCTCTCTCACTCTGTGTGTGTGTGTGGCCGTAAACTCTTTAAATGTCCTGCTATCTGCAGTCAAGTCTAACATAAGAGTCTATTCCTCCCACAAGTGCCATAAATTTGCCAAGAAATTGCCAAAATTTTATAACATTCGCCTCAACTTCCACTTTTTTGTTTGTTCTATTTTTAGTTTAGTGTAATGTCAAGTTTTTTATAAAAGGATACCCTGATACCTCTTTTGAGTACAAGAAAACTTTTATGGGAAAATAATAATAAACCAAGAATTGTTTTTGTTTTTGTTTAAAACTTGAAATTGGTAATATATATCACGTCTGATAATGTGTCAAGACTCTATTGATATGCCCACTAGGCGCGTGGCGAATTCGAAAACTCTATTTCCCGTGTCTCAGATAGCCTGCCCTTTGATCTGATAGATTTCGATTGGCTAGTATTTAGATTGCAAATATCTCAAGATCCAAAAGATATGGCGAAAATATCTACGCCCACTGGGCCCTATCACGGCAGGACAATCTATATCTTCCATACTTTTCGAGCACTACAAAGATCCCCTAGAGATCATATGGATTCAAAGCTTAAGATCTAAGATAAGGTAAGACGGAAGTATCTACACCTGGAGAGGGTGGGGCAAACCACCAATATTTATATCGCCTAATTTGTAGAGCGAGTACCTTGAAAATTATATCAGTGAGTTATTGTATAACTCCTCTATGGATGATTCACAAGTAATTTGCGTGCCTCTTTGGGGTGTAACATGTTGGAAAATACCCTGTAATGATAAAAGTGTTCATGTGAGATCATTAAAACTTATGAATATCCTGCACCCCCAAATATTCAGATGCCTACGCCCACTAGAGGCGTGGCAAAGCCGTAAACATTGTAACGGAAAATGTCAGAAACAATTTATTGCTGATCTCTACGATTGATTTATCGAAAATTATATACATATGTATATATACAGCTGTCAAAAGAGAGCTTAACAAATCGAAAAAGTCCCAGAAGGGAAAATTGAAATAGCTCTACCAAATAAGGGCTGTACTCTCGTAGACCGGTGAACGAGTATTGTGCAGTCGTTTACGGCCAACTCGACTGCAACGCGTTCTTATTTTCAATTTAGAACTCTCGTATATTTTCGTCTAGCTGTGTTTTGTGTTTTCTGTTCGATGTCCTGGGCCAAACTTCAGATATTTGTTGATATTTGTAAAAAATCTTTTTCAAAATTTGTTGCTTCACCGCTTCAGAATGTCGGAAGACTTTCTGACGTTCTTGCAATTCAGCATGCATTGCTTTAGGTATGTGTTTATATACTTTGTGTGCATACGCATGCTGGCGATAATAGCGCATGGCCCAGAGCACGACTCCGATTGAGAATGGCACAGCCACTAGAGCAGAACCAGCAGAGCCAGCGGAGGCCGGAGCAGAAGCAGAAGACAAGCTAAGCCTGGCCAAGCATGCCCGCCATGGAGCTGCCGGCGTGTCGAGGGCATCAGTAAAGCTGAAACCAAAAAGAAAAGAAAGAAAAGATTTTGCCGGCCCGACAAGTTTTTGCTATTCGCTCCATTAATTGTGATAACATCTGAATATTAAACTGAACTCATGAGAAAGCAATGCAATTATCGCTGTTTGTTTTTCTATTTTTTTATTATTACTATACGCCTTCGCCAGTGAATTTTCACATATTTTGGAGAGCGGGTGGAGATGCGCACGCCACCTATTGGATCGAGTCGGCCTCGGGGCTCACTTGGCTTGAGCTCAGGTGAGCTCGGAGGCCACTCAATCAACAAAGCGAGCGAGCGCAGTGCCGCCAGACAATCCAAATCAATTTAGTTTACTTGATCCGAAAATGTTGGAGCTCAGGTATCGACAGGGTTGTCTCTACATTGCCGGAAGTACGAGTACGCAACTAGCCAGAAGTAGACGCTAAACACTGCAAAGTATTAGAGAGAGAGATGAGAGAGAAAGAGAGTAAAAGAGTAAGAGAGAGCTAAGAGATGAGATCACATGAGAGATGGTACAAATCAGATACTCGCATATGTTGATAGCTTGAATGCAGATGGTAAATATCGTATTCTGCCAGCTTTGGGCCCAGCCATAGGCCGAGATGACGAAAAACAGAAATTTGAGTACGTCCGTCGTGAGGTAAACTAATATCAGCAGCGAAATTTGCTGCAAATCAAATGCAAAAAAATATATACATAAAGCAAATACACATACATATATACACAAATGTATATATAAATATTTCATTTCAGTTTGGTGCGAGCTTACGACGGCGGCGCTGTAGAAGAGCATCAGACAGCCCACGAAATGGGTCACATAGATGAAGGGCTTCAGGATGTTGAAGAGCTCGTCTGTGGAACTGTTCAGTTTTAATGAGGATCGTTCGTGCTGTCGATTTGAATGCGATTCGCTTACGATTGCCAAACTCAATGTGCACCGCGTGCATTAAGATGTCGAAGAATACAATCAGGAAGCAGCCAATACGCAGATCGATGCACCAACAAAATTTGGACAGTTGAAATTTCATATTGAGTCGACAGCCAACTCCCAGCTA